TTTTCATTAGTGTTAAGAAAATTCAAGGTTAATAAAATATTATGTAATCTATTTCTGGGGACATTTTCCACCCCTTTCTGTTTGTTTAACATATCCTTTATAGTTCAATTTGATCTTTCTATAACTGCCTGACCTGTAGGACTGTGTGGTATACTTGTAATATTCTTAATATTATAATAAACAAAAAACTGTTTCATTTTCCTAGAGACATATCCTGGACCATTATCTGTCTTTATTTGTGCAGGTATACCCATGATGACAATAACTTCTAATAAACGTGTGATTACTGAATCAGCCTTTTCTGAGCTTAAAGCAGTTGCCCATTGAAAGCCTGTATAAGTGTCAATGGTGTGGTGTACATATTTTAATCTTCCAAATTCTGCAAAGTGGGACACATCCATCTGTTGGCTTCTCAGTTAACCATTTTAAAGCTAGGGCCATTGGTACCTCTAATGGTTTGCTAGTTGCTTTATGTTCTTGTACAGCCTGAATGGCTGGTGACCTTTGTGCATAGTACCTTATAATATCCTTCCTAGAATTATGAGTTCCTGGGACTGCAGGAATGTTAATCTGGGTATTTCATTGCTGCAGCAGATCATGACCCCATAAATTTACTGCAATGTTAATCACATATGGCCTCAGCTTCCCTCTTTGACCTTCTGACCCAATACAGTCAACCCATCTCTTGCTTTGTTTACTTTGAGATATGATCGCAAGTCCTAGTAAGTGAACATCTGCCTCTTGAAGAGGCCAGTTTGGATGCCAAGATTCTGGAGTAATGATACTCACATCTACACCTGTGTCTATCAAACCAACAATTACAATGCTATTTATACACACTCTTAGCTTTGGCCTTTGATCACTTATAGAAGTCTGCCAGAATATACATTTCCTATTTCCTACTGGAATTTTTGACTTATCCTCCATGTTTATGCCATCATCTAGAGCAGTATGGTCTTTTACAGAAGGCTCTGGATTTTTTAATTTTCCTGGTGAGACATGTCCTCCACAGTTACTGGGAATGACTGGGATACTTTTGGCTTGGGGGCCTGTGATAGGCCCCTCAAGGAGTTTCTCAATGGTATCAGATTGCCTGTCTGTTTGTTGTTGATCTGCATTCCTTGGTCCAATATAGGCCTTTGCCACACCTGTTACATATACCTGAAGGCTGTGTTCTTCTATTTTTGCCATTCCCAGAGGAGATATTATTCCTAGGAATTCTTTGTCTACAATCCCTTCTTAGATATCCTATCCTACCACAATTAAAACATTTGGCAGTTTGATGTCTCCTCATTCCTTTGGAAATTGCTTTTTTTTTTTTTACCCAAGATTTAGTATTATAGTCAAATGTTTCAATGTTCATTTATAAAAGATCCTTTCATCCATAGGTGTTGATCTAACCTTTAAAGGCCCAAGTATCTTTTTGCATTCTAAGTTGGTATTTTTAAGGCAGATATTCAATAAGTACTTGTCTAGCATCTGGGTCTGTTACTCCTATTCGTACAGCCTTAGTTAATCTTTGTAAAAAGTCAGTAAAGGGTTCTCTCTGGCCCTGTTTAACCCTGATATATGATTCAATTATTTTTCTAGTTCTTGAATCCTGTCCCAAGCATTTAAGGCTGCTTTGTGACATAGGGACAAGATTTGTTCATCATAAAGAGCTTGAACCTGTGGGTCAGCATAAGGGCCTTCACCAAGAATTTGATCTTGGGAAGTCTCAAGGCCTTTTGCTTTTCCCCATTGTTCCAAAATTTTTGCCTCTTCTCTGAAATAAATTTTAAGCATTAATTGAGTCCCATCATCCAGGACTGCTGAAACTAATTGAGTTCAGTCATGTGACATTGCTTTAATGCTAGACCATGTCTTTATCATCTCCCTAACAAATGCAGAATTCAAACCATAGATTACAAGAGCTTGCTTAATTTCTTTTAGATCATTCATTCCTATAGGTATCCATCTACCTTCTTGGATCCTTTTGGGCCTTTATAACTTGATGCTTTTTCAGAGTAGATTATGGAGTAGGAAGCTAAAACCCTGGGTAAGTCATCTCTAATAGCTACTGGCGATATTGAATCTTCTCCTTGTTCCTTCTTTCCCTGTTCATCAGCTCCAATAATTTTCTCGATTATTTCAAATCTTTTTACTATTGTCTTTTGTAAAGCCTGAATCTCTTGGCCTGTATTTATTTCTAGTGATTTCATTGCGGTACCTAGCCTCTGGTTCTCATTCTGCACATGTGATTCCAAGGTCTGGAGTTTCTCTTTCAAAGATCACATCTCATCCTTGGACATTACTTGAATAGTGTGTGGATTGCTATCCTAGAGAGATAATCTATCTGTTAACTTATCATAATTTTTTAAACAAATTTTGATTGTCAGATTCAACAGTATGAATTCTTTCAGATAACTTCTTAGTACCCTTAGATATGGATTCACTTTTGTCTTTCAAATTAATGTTATTCTTTTTAATAGTATTTTTTAGGTTTCTTTTGATTTTCAGTGGTATTAATCCTGTCAACTAGCTGTTCATTATTAGTCTGTAAAGACTGTACCATTCCTAAAAGTTCCATATTCTTTCCTAATGATGGGATATGGAGAAGAAAACTGAGTCCCAAATACCTAATAAATTGAAGTATCACCATAACCATATTAGCCTTGCATAATACAATTTTCATAGTATTAGCACAAAAGTTACTAAAAGTTTCAATATTAATGCAGTCTGCCACATTGATTTATTAATTACCTGTATTGTGATCTGGTAAACTCTAATCTTTATTGTCCAGCAGATGTCATGGCTGCAGAGTTGAGGTTAGAAGCAATGCAACTGGTGGTAACAGGAATGGTCCTGGGCCGCTTTAGTTTCCATGATGCTTTAGTTTTCTGCCTTGGTAGTGGCTAAATACTGAGAAATATGCTTTCCTTGACAAATTAAAAGCAATTAAATCAATTCCATACATGGAGCACGAAAACCAGAACTCACGGTTAGGGACCAGAAACTGGAAGCTACCCAAGTTGCCACATGGCAAAGAACTGTGCCATGGAATGTGGCAGTTGTGCCTGCGCTTGGGAAATTTCCAAGTTGCCACACACAGTAAATTCTGCTGTGGCGGGGGTTCTACAAAAAACCGCTTAGGTAAAAGCAAGCCAAGTGGGCAGGGTTGGGAGACTGTCTGGGCCATGGACTGGCTAGGCTGTCAGGCCTTTCGCCTGGTAGATGTGCAGTCCGAATCCACAGGGAATAGCTCAGAATTGAGAAATAGATGGTTATTTATTTAGGGGTAGACTCACAAATCAGAATCCTCTGCTTAAACATAGATCAGAAACCGAATCCCGCAGCTGGAAAAAGCCATGTGAATGCTCTACATAGGCATATATAGTATAAGAGGCCGTGCCCCAGTGGGCGGTAGCCACTGGCTGTAAGACTTCCTACAGCAATTTATGGTTATTGTAAATGGTGATGTTTCTCTGATTTCTTTTTCAGCTTCATTATCATTTGTATATAGGAGAACTACTGATTTTCTTTTTGACTTAATCTTCTATCCTACCACATTACTGAAGATGTTTCCTGAAGTTGTAGGAGTTCCCTGGTAGAATTTTGGAGGCTAATATTATATCATAAGCAAATAGTGAAAACTTGACTTTTTACTTTTCAATTTGAAACTTTTTCATCATCATTGATATTTCTATAGTCAGTTTTGTCCTGTATGTCCTATGGTGACATGTGCAGGCCTTTTTTTCTACACATTGCTCTAGACTGCTTAACATACTTTGAACTGGAGATGTTAATCACTTTTGCTGGAGAGGTGGTAAGGGTTCTGTAGAGGGGGAAAATTAATGTTACAGCACTCTTGACCAGGGCTCTTTTGAGGCCCCTTCTGATCAAAAGAATGGATTCTCCCTCTGGCCTGGGTGGAGACGGGCCATTTTGAGCTAACATGAGAGTTATTCACCTGACTGAGAGAACACGCTGCCAGAATGCAGGCTCACTGATACCAGGCTAAAAGAGATGGAAGTGGGGGAAGTTATTCCTTTGATGAGATAATGTACATTTTCTTCTCAGAAACTTGATCTATTCAGTTCAGGCAGAACCACTTCAAGGCCTGTGCTGGTCAGTCTGCCCTCTGAGTCCTGATTCAGGCTTAATTTTTCCTTTCTTATCTTTATCTCTTTCTTAGGACATTGGCCAGAGCCAAATTATGCCTTTTATGTTACTTTGGGCCCTTTCCATCTTTTTCTGAAGCACCCCTTTCTCCCTAGCACCATGTGGCTGCTTGCAAATTTTCCAATAAGGCTCTCAGTTATGTTAGCTCTGAGACATCTTTCATTTGTGCCTGATCTACTGGGACTGAATTCTAGAAACTGAAATAATCCAAAAAATAGAAATCAGAACTTTTTAAAAGATGCCCTCATTTTTTTGTACTACCTGGGAATGAATGGCTTTAGGCTTACCTAAAATTGTATATTATGTCAGGGTGGAAGAGGTCTTCTTAACATGCCATCAAACAGAAAGCAGATTCATTTTAGCAATTTTTGAAAGACCATCAGCACTGATAAAGAGATTCCAGTGTATTTCTCTATGGTAAAATAAGAGGGCTGAAAAATGAGGTGTGGGAGGCCTCGTGCTTGGGGCAACAAGATTCAGTTATTGATAGAGTGCCTCCAAAGTAAACAGGATTTTTATGAGATCACAGATGACGTTGATCAGGTTTATGGGTCTGCACAGAAAGAAATGTCTGCAGAGATAGTCTCCCAGGATAGCATCTCTCTTGGGCCAACACTTTCAGGAAGGAGAGACATGTAGCTACCAACAGCTGTGATAATTTCCTCATTCCCAAATCCCCATGACCTCATTACCCAGACTCTATAAAGAGTTGAATCCAGCTTTTTTTTTTTTTTCTTGGAAGACCCCTCAAGTTCCTCAGGCGAGAGGTTGCCTCTCACTGTGTGTGCTAACAAGTACAGCCCTGTCCCTTAAGGTCAGATCCCTGTCTCTTTCCTGCCTTCTGTCTCTATGTTGTCTCAGAAATCCCAGTTATCAATAAAAGATGGAAACAGGATTCTTCACATACTTTTAAACTGACTGACATTTGTTTCTGACTTCATTCTTTTCACTTGTTAATTAGCTTGTAATTAAGAAAGTCCTGAGTTCTGCCTCATGCATCTTAGGGAATCAAGACATTTTTTTTTGATGAAAATTTAGATGACTTTTCTCCTTTAAGGAGAAATCCAAGTTCATTTATATATAACAAATACAAATTCATTTTATAAAATTTAATGGAGATCCTAACTCTGATAGGAGATTATATTTTTGTCTTTTTTTCATATCTCTGTCTGGGGATAATTCTGTACTAACGCTTCTGGTATATAGGGGAGATTTTTGCTTTATTTTATAAATAACATTTTTTCATTTATTTTACATATTGATCACAGTTTCCCTTCCCTGCTCTCCTCCTGTCCCTCCTATCCCCACTTCCCATCTGCCACCTCCCCTTTCACTTCTCAGCCTCCATTCAGAAAGGGGCAGGCCTCCCATGGACTTGAACAAACATGACGTGTCAAGTTGAGGCAGGATTGAGAGCCCTCCTTTTGTGTCAAGGCTGGGCCAAGTAATCCAGCATGGGGAACAGATTCCCAAAGGCCAGCTAAGCGCTGGCGACAGAGACCAAGCTACACAACTCTCACACACATGCAGAGGGCTGAGGTCAGTCATAGGCAGAGATTTTGTCAAACTTTTCTACAAGTTTGCCTCACTATCAGTCCTTGCATTAAAGTCTACATTAGGCTCAATTTGATGTGTTGCAGGTTTCACTTTGCAAGATGAGCTTTTGGACAACTCATGGCTTTTCCTAGGGCCCCTTTCACCTCCTTGTTTCTAATAGTGTAAATAAAGGGATTAAGAAGGGGTGTGAGGATAGTATTTAGCACGGACACCACCTTATTAATCTTAAAGGAAGAGTGTGCTGTGGGTCTCAGGTACATGAACAAGACAGCTCCATAGAGCAGAGAGACAACTGTCAGGTGAGAGGCACAGGTAGAAAAAGCCTTTTGGCGGCCAGAGGCTGAAGGAATCCGTAGGATGGTGGATAAGATGTAGACGTAAGAAATGATGGTAAAGAGGAGTGATCCTGGGATCACGAGGATGGTTGCCAGGAGACCCAGTAGTTCCAAAATGCTGGTGTCGGCACAGGCAGCTTTCAGAATGGGACCCACATCACAGTAGAAATGGTTGATGACATTGTTGCCGCAGAACGGCAACTGGACAAGCAGCATTGTCTGACAAAAGACGATGGTGAAGCCCGCTAGCCAGGAGCTGAGGGCCAGCTGCATGCAGAGACTGCTGGTCATAATGGTGGGGTAACGGAGGGGCTTACAGATGGCCAGGTAGCGGTCAAAAGACATGGTGCCTAGGATCAAGAACTCAGTGGTACCCAGGAAGAAGTGGAAAAAAGCCTGCAGCAGGCAGCAGGTGGTGCAGATGACTGTTTTTGGTACCACAAAGGTTTCCAGCAGTTTGGGGATGACGGTGGTGGTATACCAGATCTCTAGGAAGGCTAGGTTGCAAAGGAAGAAGTACATTGGAGTTTGTAGCCTGGGCTCAACCCAGACAAGGAAAATAATGAGTCCATTACCTGAAAGGGTTAATATGTAGATGAGAAAGATCACCATGAAGAGAAGGGCTTGGAAGCCTTGGATGCCTGGGAAGCCTAGGAGGACGAATTCTGTGATTGCAGTGCCGTTTCTCATGTCCTTTGATCTCCCAGGAAGACTGCAAGGATGGAGCAGAATCATATACTACTACTACTACTGCTAATAATAATAATAAATTTTACTTAAGAGTTATTGTTTTTTTAACTGTTTACTTTTATAGCTTACATCTTAAATACATCTCTTACGAAGAATAGAAAATTGGGCTTTTAAAATAACTTGCTATTTATTGTTATTCATTCATTAATTTATTCATTCATTCAGTGGTGCTGGTAATGTAATCCAGAGATTTGTGCATGCTAGACAAACCCTCCACCACTGAGTCACAGCTCCTGCCTGCTCCCTGGAATTGAGTACAGTCCAGGAGAGTTAGAGTAACAACAATATTGCATCTATGCTCCTTCAGGATATAACTGTATTTCAGGTCCTTCCCGCTCCATACATACATACCCAGTAGGCACAACTTCCTTATTGGTTGATAATTTGGCTGGTTCTTTGAGCACCTAAACCAAATTTGAATCCTTAAAATTACATATATTTTTGTATGAACGTATGTCCTTGCATGCCATAGGGCACACATAGAGGTCAGATGAAAACTTGTGGGAATTGTTTTTCTCCTTTGATTGTGTGGGTTCTGCAGATTCAGGCAGGCCATTAGGCTTGTGAAACACCTCTATTTGCTGAGTCACCCTAGCTGGCTCCAAACCAACTTTTAATAGAATTTAAAAATGTTAAAAGGAAACTTGAAAATAGTGTTTTTACCATCATATATTTATGAAAGTAAGAATTATAAATGCAATATCTTATCTGTCAACAAACCATATATACTTAGTGAATAGTGCATAATGTATACAATGAAATATATATATACATATATATATATATAACTAAGAAATTAATTCTTATACCTGTATTACATTCTCAAAGAAAAGTATTTTTTTTGGTGCTGAGCTTTGAGTCCAGGGCCTGGTATATGGTAGACAAGTGCTCTACCCCAAGCTCTGTCCCCAGCACAGACTCTGTATAGAGTACATCTATAGTGAAGGAATCCCATCTTATGTGTGTTTATGAAAATAACTAAAAATCATTGCTATTATATAGGTGGGTGGGATACAAATTAGAGAAGATGCCTTAAAATTTATTTTTACTCTAATTTTATTTTTGTTTATATTTTGTTTAGAGGAGGGCAAGAGATTGAGACACAGTCTCTTAGCATTGGCTGACTTGGTCTTCACTATTTTGTCGACTGGGCCTGCATATCCTCTTGCCTCTGTCTCTTGAGTATTTGTGATTATAATTTATATTCTTGGCTTTAGAAATGATATTTGTTAATGAATTTACATTCTAATTAAGGTCCTTCCTTTTAAGGGGACTAAGTAAACCATTATATACCAAGTAAACAAGATTGTTGAGGAAGTAGAAACATATCCAAATTAGAATTTCTAGGGCCAGTTATTTGATATAGTCATAATGCATGCATATTGGATAAAGAACTGTAGAGATTAGCCTAAATAAAAGTGAAAAGATAAGCAAATGCTAATGATACCAAACTAAGAATCCTGGGAAAGCACATTTCTATAAAGACCTTGTTTCATGATTAATTATCATTCACTGGTAAATAAAGCATTCCCATTTGTGTGTGCAAATTCATAGAAAAAAATTTTTCTTTGATTCCTACTAATGTTCACCAGGAAACAGTAAAATGACACCCTGTGTTAATGAGCATATTCTGCCTTATGGTAAATTACTATGAGATGAATTGTCCAGTTTTAAATCACCCAAAAACCAGCATGAAGGAGGAAGTTTCTGGCTTATTGTTGGGTTGTCTAGTTTTTCCCTAATATGAGTGAACACGGACAAGTTGAGGGAGAAAAAATATTTTCTATTTTTTTTTAAATGTCCTTTTTAGACCAAGTCAAGGTTATTCTCTGTAATATCAAAAGCTCCAGTATGTCCCATGAAATGGTAAGAAGAAAGGGAGAAATTTTCAACTTTGCATTAATAGCCAATTCAACTGGCTACCCGAGTGGTCTTTATTTTGTTATTTTTTAAATCTAGTGTTGACATGGAATTGCCTTCATTTCCTACATAGGGGAGAGTGGCAGCCTCTCCATATACAAAATGTCCTAGCGGTAAATACTCCAGCATTTGGAGAATTAGATGGATGAATTCCACAAGTCAAAAGCTTATTATGTTTAAGTCCTATAAGCCACTCAGGAGCTTGTCACTTAATCAGGACACACAGAGGGCCTGAATGATCGTTCCAACATGATCCAGAGACTGAACATCACACAGTGGAGGCACACGCAGGTTTCTTTGGGAATACTCAGAAATACCCTTTTCTAGAGACAGGTGGCCAGAGAGTTCAGGTTTCTCAGAGACAAAGAAGCCTAAACTGAGCCTTAGAGTTAAGTAGAAGAATGCAGAGAGGGAACAAAGATCCAATGCCTGTGAACTGCAACTGGAGCAATGAATCCCATCTACATTGGAGCTGGGAGTCAAGCTTTTCTTGAAGACAGAGTTGTGAGGCTTTTGTAGGGGAGGGTCTTAAGTCTTACTCACATGCAAGGGTGCAGGGTAGGTAGTGCAATGTCAACCTTCACCCCTAACATGTGAAGTGGGGTTAAACTTTATGGAGTAGGTTTATAGGTGATACCTGTGTGAGATCAAAGCAGCACCATAGCATCCAGGTAACCGCACAGGGTGTGGACAAGAAAGAGCCATTTCTTCCTTCCTTTGGTAAAGGACCTGACTTGGCCCAGGAATAATGAGGATCTTGGAATGGCAACAGAAAAGATACTAATAGAAGGACAGTACCCGCTGAGGGGAGTGGTCCTTAACAGGAGTGGCAGGTGCATCAGTGTTCCATGGAAGGAATGCTGAGATGGTAGAGACACTAGGAAATAGGGGGTGGCTCCCCAGACTGCTGCATGGGCAAGGTTTAGTGCACCCTATGAACTGCTGTGATATTTCCGAAGAAAACTGGTTATCTCATATACACAAGCGACAACTACACTCAGCTAGGAAAAGCCACTTTGGGAAGTTAAGGTTTCAGAGTTAAAGCACTGGATTAAACATTTGGCTCCTCGTGCTTACCAAAATCCAGCCCTATATTCTCTAGTCATTTTATTTATCTGATGTGAACAGTCAAATGACACTCCTCCACCTTTCCTGAGACCAGCACATTAGCTTCTTATTCTCCACAGTAGCCCCCTTGTTGTACCTCATGGTTTTTTTTTTTTTTTTTTTTTTTTTTTTTGTCCATGTCTTAAAGTCTTTAATCTGTGTACAAGTACAGACCCTAACTGGGATCCCTTTCTCCTGATTGTCTACCCTCTTCCCTACTCCAGCTTAAACACTCACGTCCTGAAGGGTGACCCCCCCCCAAACTTCTTAGCATAACATTCAAGGCCATTGATGACCTTGCCTAAACCACTTTTCCAGCCTTACCTGCCTCTTTATCCCCCCAGTCTGTGTTCCACACTGAATCACTCAGTTGCAAAGTCCAGAAAATCAATGCCATGCTTTGGCAAACAAGCTCTGTTGTAGCACAGCCAGACTCATCCGCTTTTGTGCTGTAATGACAGACTTGAGTAGCTGCAACAGAGACCATACACATCTCCAGTGCACCTAAAACATTCGCTATAGCATCCCCTTAGTAGACACAGTTTACTCACATTGCTCTAGTTCCCTGAGAGAGCCATCCTCCCCTTTGCTTTCCACATATTGCACAAGGGGCTTGCATTGGTTTAATGCCCTTCCCCACTATCTTCATTGTGGACTAAGTCCTACTAGACTTCTAGGTCTCAGTTTAGGAGTCCCCTCCATGGAAAGTGTTCCTCAACTTTCTACATCTAGGCAAGCTAAGAGGCTGTATCTACATCCTTCCAACAAGCCCTGCCCATGTCTATATCTGAACACTTAAAGAACTGTATTATCATTTTGGCTTTATCTGTAGATGCTAAGCGCTTAAGTCTCAATAGTATTTGCAGGACCTGTGCACTGAACTGAGTGTGGAACAAATCCTTGAATGATATTTCCTAAATGATGTATAAGTGCATAGCTTGTTGTCAGTATGCCCCAGTACTCTGTAAGTTTATGTAGACTGATATACACATGCATTTATATGTGATATGCACCTTGTGTTTTAAACACCTGTGTTATGTCATAACCGGAACAATGTCCTACATAATCTGTTTCCAAGTCTACGCTTGCTCCTGGCTTCTCTTTATTTATTCAGATTTTGCTGCATGTAAATCTCCCAGCTCCATCTTTCTCTAAACAGGAAAAACTGTTTCTGTGTTCTGTTTTTGCTACCAGCATTTCCAGATTTCCTGAGTACACATATCTTTCTTAACTCATTTAATGCTGTCTTGAGATTGTGTTATTTTTTCTAGGTTCTGTTGTTGCAATAAAGAACCTTGCCCTTTTAAAATTTTTTCATAGTCTTAGAAGAAGAAGAAGAAGAAAAAAGAAAAAGTGTTAATAGATTTGTTTTCTTTTCTAGATTTGAGCTGAGGTTTAAAAGTGTCCTAAGCCTTGTTTATTTTAATTTTTTAATTGTTGATATAGACAAATTTTCAAGATTTTGATCATGGAGTCAGTTTGAAGATTTTCAACATGACAGAGGCTTAAACCAAGGACACCATGTAGAACATATTCCATAAGGGGAAACTAACAATAATCACTACTTGAGGTCACTAAGGCAGACCTTGAATAAACAACCATTTGGAATTCCACTCAAGGATTCAGTGTTCTGCTGTGGTACAGGAGATAAATGTCACTTGCACTGAAGTAGCTTGAGGACCTTGTGATTTTTCTGTATGAAACTGAAAGTCATTTGCTAGACTCTACTTGAAGATATCGATGCATAGCTAACTGTATTTCTTCATTCTAAAGAAAACAAAACTTTATCCTAAAGAATCATCATTTCCTCTCTGTAGATAATAGATACTCACAGCACTGAAGTTGCGGAAGAAAGCAGTTCTGGTCCAGAAGTGTGTCTCTGGTCACAGTTCTACTGAGAGAAAAGGGGTCTTGTTACAAAGACAGTACAATCACAACAGAAAATGTTTATTCTACTTCTCACAAAGGAAAATAAACCCACTTTTAGAACTAAAAGCAAGCGATTTTTTTACCTCATTGAACTTCCTTCATAAATCGCGGGAATAAGTGGGAAAATTCAACAGGGTTTAGAAGATTTACAGTAAGTGTGAACCATGGATCACTTCATGCCAAACCAAGTTTTCTTCCCTGAAAATAATGATTTGTCAATGTCGTACTTTCCTAGTTTCCTCTGAGACACCATTCCCCATGGATGACCTTCAGATAGTCCTGGGAGAAAAGGAAGTTCTCACTAAAAGTTTATTCACAAGTCAAACTAAAAGCTCAGACTTTTCTGAGTCCTAATTGGCATCCATTGTCCTTGTATTCTTAAGCTAATTAATCTACATCTGAGAACCCACACTATTACTTACTAAATGTTCAATTTCTCAACTTCACTAAGATTGGAAATCCATAGTATATGACTGGTCAAGTGAAGAACTCCATATGAATCATGGGTAAGAAAAATTTTTAATGATATGGCAACTCATCAAGTACTGAGGAATTTGAGAGTGAATGGGACAGAGTTATATTTGAGCTTTGTATGAATTATCTGAAAGTGATAAATGAGAAGTCAGAGACTTGCTATATAGAAAGCTGGTAGAGGGAACATAAATAACTCATCATTGGAAAAACTTTCAGGGAAATAGAAAAATTGGTTTGGAATTGTAAATTGCTCCCATCCCTAACCAAGAAGCGATCTCCAGTTGACATCTGCTTGCAAAGAACTATTAGTTTTCTGCAATGGAATTTCACTGGGTATGTTAACCACACTTTAGGGTAGGTAGGCTCCATGCCCAGCAGTACATGGTCAACACAATACAAACTCAATAGTATTTTTATAAATTTTTTTGTCTCATCTTCCTTTGCTTCATCATTTTTTGTCTTACTAGTCTTTTGCTTGTATATTATAGTTTCCAATTTTGGGTTTTATGGGTTTAGTTTTTGTGTGTGTCTCTTTCTGTGTTTCTTCTTTCTTTTCTTTTAGTCTGGTTTGTTTTGTTTACTTGCTTATTTATTGAGAGAGAGAGAGAGAGAGAGAGGTGTGTGTGTCTCTCTGTGTTTCTTCTTTCTTTTCTTTTAGTCTGGTTTGTTTTGTTTACTTGCTTATTTATTGAGAGAAAGAGAGAGAGAGAGAGAGAGAGAGAGAGAGAGAGAGAGAGAGAGGCTTGAAATTGTATGGATGGGAAAGATCTTATGAGTTGGGGAAGGGGAATCATAATCAGAATATATTATATGAAAAATTATTTTCAATAAAATATATAAAACAACCTTATTAAATCTAAATTACATAAAATAAATAGCACTTTTTAAAATGTAAAATTTATTCATTCACATTAGCTGTCTTTTGCTTTCCATTTTTATTATTTTTTTTTGTAATTGGTTAGCATAGTTTTGACTTTACATAGGCAGGATAGATCATATATACCATATTTTATCATGACAGATCATGACAGATCCTTGATATCTTACAAAAGCATTGAATTTATCCTTCATCATGTGCATTAAAAACTTCTTTCATTTTACTTCCATATTCTTATATACATTTCATACTCTACTTTTATTATTTTTATTTAAGCTGATAGTCTTTTTTTTTCTTTTAAATCAAAGTGAGTCAAACTTTTAACACCATTACATTTTTAGAGGAAAATTTTCTGGTCTCATCTCCATGGCCATAGCTGACATTCAGCAAGAAATATTCAGCTTCTTCAATAATGTAGTTCAGGCAACAACTGTAATACATGGACTTTCCTATATCTCCTCTTAGAGATCTTCCATCCTCTGGGGTGGCTGGCGACTTCCCCATTGGTTGCTTTCTTTCCTTCCTGGATGCTTTATGCTCATCTTCCTTGGCTCTGGAGTGTCATCTGGCCCCAGTTCTCTGTCATGCGCTTTGGGATCCATTCTTGTTTCATTTTGCTCCAGCAACATCAAAGGGTAGTGCTTTCATCTGTCTGGATTACTCTGGCAAAACATCCTAAGTAGGTTAGCATTTAAAAAGCACAAATTCATTCTTATTTTTTATTGCAGTTCTAGAGGCTGGAGAGTCCGAGAGAAGGTGACTGCAGATGCCAACTTAGTGAGAGATGCTTTCTCAGTTTGTAGATGCCTGCCATTTCAGTCTGTCTTCACATGGGAAAAGACAAGTTAGCTGTCATGTTTTTCTATAATTCCAACAATGAGCCTTAAGGGCCCTATCTTCTCACAAAGCTCCCAGCTTTTGATACCACCACTTTGAAAGTTAGGATGTCTTTGTTTGAATTTGGGGGAGAACCATCTGTTGCAGTTATGTTTATGGCTAACTTCCTATTCCTCCTAGTTTGTCTTCCGCTGGTAAATAAGCACCAACTGTGTCTAGTACCTGGAGTCTGGATGATGATTATGGGGAGTACAGTGCAGTAAGATAGCCTAGTGCTTCTACAGAGCCTACAGTGTTCTCATATCTGTACATTGATTTTCATTTTCTATTTTCTGAATTCTATAACTCTGGTTCATTTTGTGATGATATGGAGTGAGTCCAAGTGAGTATGTCCACAAGTTATTGTGATTCTATGATAAGTAAATGTGATACAAAAAGATCTCTGAAGAACTTTGTACAGAATCATCATTCCTTACAGTTTTGTTGATTTGGGCACAAGCACAGTAATCATGGTAAGTGTCCAGATCCATAATCCTACAAATGATGAAAATTTGAGGACAGAGATATTTTGGATTTTAGATTTTGCTTCAGATTTGGGATTACTTGCATATACACAATGAGATATCTTGGGGATGGGAGCTGAGTTTAAACACAACAGTTTACTTATGTTTCAGATATACTTTATATGTATAGGCTGAAAGTAATATGGAGTAGAATTTTCAGCATACCTGCATTTTTACTAATTAAATTCAGTTTCTATTTCCACTTTCCTTTCATTCCCCGCTGTGGGAACTCCTTCAGCCAATAGCCTTTAAGATACCAGCCCACTTGGGCATGGTCTCTTATACTATAAATGCAGATGTAATGCTTGTGCACAGTCTCTCTCTCTCTCTCTCTTTCTCTCTCTCTCTCTCTCTCTCTCTCTCTCTCTCTCTCTCTCTCTCTCNCTCTCTCTCGTTAGATTTGGTTCCTATTCCCTACTGCAGAGAACTATGATCTGAGTCTACCCCTAAATAAAGATCCCTTTATTATACTCAATTCTGAGCTAGTATGGGACTACATTAGAGCATCCATCTACATCTGGTGCCCAACATCCATGATAGCTTCAGGACTGCTTGCTGAAATGTACACTAGATACCCCATGAAAGACCTGATTAATAGTGCCCTCAATCAGCATGAAGTAGTCTAGAGAACAGTGCCTAGATTCCCTAAATGATCGTTTACTTTTAAAGAGGGATATAATATGGAGATGAATACTTTGCATTGGTATGAATCTTGGTTTATTGATACAAATTTAAGGTTGATTTTGTTACACTGTGTATATGTATTTCTGTTATTGTTTAAGGTATTATGTTTGTGGAGCTCATTTAAAAATCTAATGTATAATTAAGAAATACAGGTGAATAGATAGCTATCTATAATAGTCAAACTGTAGTCATGCTAGTTAGGTTTTCTAGGTGTACAGAGATATATTGCAGATGTACAAGTATTCTTCTAATCTTTCAATGATTAACAGAATATGGCATTTAAAATGTTTTAAGAACTTAGGACTTTTCATGACAATGAGACACATCTGCTCCTGGCAGCACCAGTCTACTTCAAGAGGATGATGGGCAATGAAAAGGCTCCTTATGGAGTTGGCTATCCATTTGGGCAAGAAACTGCTCTTGCATGGACTGCTTGGTGGTATGCTGCATGAACTGGACATGCAGGACTCACAAAAAATGACTGCTGAAGTTGCCAAAAGAAGGTGAGACAGTCCTTTGGGGTTCTTTCTTCATGAAAGAGTCTGTCAGACACAGAAGAAAGTTACTGACAAATTGACAATATAGGCAGAACTGTCTTTGAAATTTCCTGCTTTGTGGAAAAGTCTGCTGGACGCTATGGGCCTGTAGGCTAAAGATGGTTGCCCTAATATTACAGAAGAACCTTGGGCTACTGTCTAGGTAGTGAGATGTCTCTGTCAATTCTAGAGTTTTAGAAGTTACTTACAACGTACTTCCTGTTAACTTAGGTAATATTATATCCTTCTTGGGTCTTAATGGAGTTGAAGAATAAATAGTTATAATTTTCCTTACTTATGATAAAAGATAAGATAGATATAAATATTGTAACTATAATTCTTGCTTGATACCTACTTTGTTATATGTAATTTTATTATGTTAAAGTTAAAATCTTCCTTTTTATTTAGACAGAAAAGGGGAGGTGGTATGGGATTCTTCTCTGTATGCTGTGAATATGTTTTATTATTATTGGTTAATAAATAAGTTACTTTGGCCTGTGGCAGGGCAGAATAGAGCTAGACAGGAAGACTGAACTGAATCTGGGAGAAAGAAGGTGGAGCAAGGGAGACATCGTGTAACTGCCAAAGCAGACAGTTGCCCTGGAACCTTACTGATAAACCATGAGACTCATGGTAAAATATAAAATGATAGAAATGGGTTAATTTAAGATGTAAGAGTTAGTTAATAAGAAGCCTACACTACTAGTCCAAGCAGTGTTGCAATTAATATAGTTTTTGTGTGATTATATTGGGTCTGGGTGGCTGGGAAATGAATGAGCAACCTCTGCCTACAATTCCTTCTCCCTGCCTCCCCACCCATTCCCCATCCACTCCTTCTCTGCTTCTGTTCAGAATGGGGCAAGCTTCCTATGGTTGTCAACAAAGCATGACATATTACATGGAGATAGGACTAAGTCCTCTCTTTGTATTAAGGTGGGGCAAGGCAACCTAGATGGGGAAAAAGTTCCAAATGCCAGCTCAAGTGTTAGGG